GGGTCCCCGGCTGCGCGGCGCTCTGTGTGCTGCTGTTGGCCCAGGTGGCTGTGCAGGTGAGTCCCCGACGGGGGGGGGGTGCCCCGCGTCTTCCCCCCTGCAGTCCCGGTCTCACCGACGTGTGGCCGCTGTTTTCCAGCAGGCACCTGCGTGCTCCGTGGGACCCGCAGCGGCCTCGCCAGGGAGCCCGAGCGTCTGGCGTCCTCCGGGTGCTGTGGCTCAGCCGGACTGGATGGAAAAAGGCGGTAGGTCTGTGGGGAAGGGGGGGTTCCAAGTCCTCATCAAGTGGCACTGGTTTATAAGGTGCTGCGAATGTTCCTAATTCTGCGAATGTTCCTCCCAGGATGCTGCCTTGCCTTCTTGCCTAATGAGCGAGCGCCCATGAGTCAACTTTCACCAATATTCATATTGTATTCCGTTGTGAAACAGTAACGCTTACCAGCGTTATTACCAGAAGCGGTAGGGGAAAAAAACAAGCAATATATATTTAATAAGAACATTTAAAAAGCAAGGAATAATCTAGAGGTTTTATTAATTTATGCATTCAGGAAATTAGAAAGCGCTTACTACTCCTTTCTCTACCCCTTCGCCCCCTCCTGATCCTCCTCTGGCTTTTAAAGTGAAGCCTCTCTGTATATCCTTGATTAAAGAGCAGGAGACAAAAGAAAGCCGTTTTTGCTTAATACTGATCCAGTTAGTATGAAAGTGGATGCTATTCGGGAGTTGAGCCATAACTGTAACATAGTGCATGGAATGGGTAATTAGCGTTTGCGACAGCCTAAGCAATGCCCATACTTTCTGCCATGATTTGGCGTACAAGTCTGATCCTTTTGCAATGTGTGGTTTTCCTTGTGCTGTTGGCAAGCTGCATTTGTACATTTCACATCTCCTGGGAATAATCGGCCCTGCCCTGAACTGCCTTAGGCTAAAGGGAAAGGCAGGTGTGGGATGTCAGTTGCTGGGTGGTTTTTATCTGAACCCAATCCTTTGGCAGTTGTTTTGTACTTTGCAACATTTCCAACAATAAATTGACATATCAAGTGTTAGTATTTTAGAGGAAGGACGAGGTTTGATTATCCCAGCTTATTTTCAGAAAATCTAGAAAAGTTAATAACTCAAAGTTTTTGAACATAGTTTTCCATCTTTTATAAAGACAAGAATCTGACGTATGCATTAACTATTTGAATTCTGTCCCACTGAGTGAGTACACGAGTAGTCTATAAATACAGTGGTAGGTAGATGAACGCTGGAACAGAAGACCTTCAGCACCACCAGAGGGCGCTAGATGTAAGTGATATGAAACATAAAAATCACTTATGGCTCCGTAATTGCTGGAGAAAGGTAATTATCTATCTTTTTAAAGGTCACCTTCTTGCGCTTGCCCTTGTCTTCTTTCATGTTTCTCTCAGGATGCATTCCACAATCTAATTATCCATATTATATTTGTCTCTCCACACACACTTCTGAAAAAAAGAGTTTTTTGTTAAGTTCTCTAAAGTTCTCTAAAATCATGAAAATTCATGAAGGTCTCAGGAGATTTTTCAGGGGATTGTATAGCATTTTATTAAGGTAGGAGCGATACAGACAGAGAACCATTTCCGGAAGGAGAAGTCAAAGGCTCCCTGCCCAAGTGAGCTTCCCCTGCTCCTGGCCAGGACGGACTCCTGGGAGCTGGACTCTAGCCTGGCTGGCATGCGGTTCGAATCACCTGGCACCTCGGCTGGTGTCACAAGCCAAGCATTGCCACGTCATGCACATACCTCGCCTGGTCAAAAACTGGCAGGGAACGTGTGAGCCGTCATCCATGAAGTCATAGCCTAGTGGACAAAGTCCAGCCCCCTACCTGCCTACCCTCTGTGTGTTTTAGGTCTTTAATTAGAAACGGCCAAGTCCAGGGGC